GGTATACCCTATGAAGCATAAACATCAGGTCCTGGATATTTTTGTGGAGTGGAAGAAAAAAGTGGAGCTGCAGACAGGTAGAAAGGTGAAGACTCTACGTTCAGATAACGGTGAAGAGTACAAGAGTGATCCGTTTCTGCAGTTTTGTCGGGATCACGACATTAGAAGACACTTCATAGTTCGAGAGACACCACAACAGAACGGGGTGGCTGAGAGATTGAACCGTACCTTGCTGGAGAAGGTGCGGTGTATGATGACGCAGAGTGGATTGCTTAGATCTTTTTTGGCCGAGGCGTTAGTTTATGCGAGCCATCTCGTGAACAGGTTACCGTGCACTGCGATAGACGGGAAGACTCCTTTGAAGCGTTGGTTTGGTTCGGTGGCTAGTGACTATGAGTCGCTTCGGATATTCAGGTGTCCAGCTTATTATCATGTTAGTGATGGTAAATTAAATCCGAGAGCGAGGAAAGTAGTCTTTGTGGGATTTAGAGATGGAGTCAAAGGCTTCAAGTTATGGGATCTACAGAATAAGAAGATAGTTATTAGCAGAGATGTCACATTTAACGAGGCATACATGATGAGGCCTCGAGCCCCTCAGCAGGTAGAGGGAGACCAGACAGGAGAGATATCGCAACAGGTGGAGGATGATGTGACTCCACTCACTCCAGAGAGCATTGTATCCATTGAGGCTCCTACGGAGGTGATACTGGGAGGAGATGAGATGACAGCCGGGCAGATAGAGTATACAGTGGATTATGGGACTCATGAACAGGGTCATGTTCAGGGGTCCATTACAGCAGATAGACCGAGGAGAGAGATTCGTCGGCCAGCTAGGTATAATGATGTCATGGTCTCATATGCATTATCAGTAGAGGTCGTTGATGATATGGTTCCAGCCACATTCAGGGAGGCAGAGTCTAGCCCCGATTCGATCAGGTGAAGGGAAGCTATGGAGGAGGAGATGTGGTCTCTTCAGAAGAACGATACTTGGACACTTGTACTTCTACCTAAGGGTAAGAAGGCTATTGGTTGCAAGTGGGTATATGCGAAGAAGGAAGGATCTTCTATTGGGGACATAAGGTTCAAAGCCAGATTGGTTGCCAAGGGATATGCACAGGAAGAAGGAAGGATCTTCTATTGGGGACATAAGGTTCAAAGCCAGATTGGTTGCCAAGGGATATGCACAGCTTGTGGACATTGATTACAATGAGGTATTTTCACCCGTTGTGAAGCATTTGTCCATACGGATTTTATTGGCGTTGGTGGCACAGTTAGATTTGGATTTGGTCCAGATGGATGTGAAGATAGCCTTTCTACACGGTGATTTAGATAAGGAGATCTACATGACACAACCCCAGGGTTTTAAAGCTGCAGGAAAGGAAGATTTGGTTTGTAAGCTGAAGAAGTCTCTTTATGGTTTGAAGCAGTCACCAAGACAGTGGTATAAGAGATTCGACGGCTTTATGATTGGCCGATGGTACACGAGGAGCCCATATGACCCATGTGTTTATATGCACAAGCTACATGATGGTGAGCACATATATTTGCTTTTATATGTTGACGATATGCTTATTGCGTCCAGGAATTCTTCGGCTATTCAAAAGTTGAAAGATGAGCTGTCATCCGAGTTTGAGATGAAGGATCTTGGAGAGGCAAAGAAGATATTAGGTATAGAGATCGAGAGAGACAGGGTGAAAAGGAGTTTGAAACTTACACAGAAGAGCTACTTACAGAAGATGTTGAAGAAATTCAGTTTTGACGGCAATGCAAAAGCAGTTAGCACACCATTGGCTCCCCACTTCAAGCTTTCAACGTTGATGTCACCTGTTTCAGTTGAGGACAGAGATTATATGTCAAAGGTCTCATATGTCAGTGCAGTAGGTAGCTTGATGTATGCGATGGTGTGTACGAGGCCAGATTTGTCACAGGCCGTGAGCATGGTATCGAGATACATGCACGACCCCGGGAAGGGTCATTAGGAGGCCGTGAAGTGGATTCTACGGTATGTTCGAGGCATCATGGATGTTGGTTTAGTATTCTAGAAGGATGAAAAGAATGGGCAAGATTGTATTGGATATGTGGATTCAGATTATGCTGGAGATCTTGACAAACGCCGGTCTACTTCAGGTTATGCTTTTACATTAGCAGGTGCACCTGTATGTTGGCGATGCACGCTTCAGTCCACAGTGGCTCTCTCTACTACAGAGGCAGAGTATATGGCAGTAACTGAAGCTATTAAGGAGGCTTTATGGTTGTGTGGATTATTGGAGGACTTGGGGATCACTCAGGAGACTATTCGAGTATATTGTGATAGCATGTCGGCTATCTATTTAGCGAAGAACCAGGTTTATCATGCGCGCACGAAGCACATCGACGTCATATTCCACTTTGTACGTAACGTGTTGGATGATGGAGACGTCATATTAGAGAAGGTCCACCCAAATGACAACCCTGCAGATATGTTGACCAAAGTTGTTTCAGGAGTAAAATTTGGTCATTGTTTGAAGTTTTTGAACATCCTTCAGTGCTGAGGCCTTTGAAGGCCATTTGGGTGAACTACGTTCGGCTTGATTCCTTGGGCAAGAGGATATGTACGCAGTTTTTCAGATGCAGCCGGTTTGATCAGTTGATTCAGATGGGAGGGAGATCGCGTTTCAGCTCTAGATTGGTTCCCTGACTTGTTGAGGGACTATTGGATGATTTGGTGTCGGCTCAGTTTTGGTGGAAACATTCGCCGAGGTAGAGAATTGAAGAATTACAGGAAACAAGAAGGAACCAGCCAGACAGACTAGCCGCGTCGACCGCCGCGGTCGACCGCAACGCTGCACGCAGGCTAACTGGGTTTCGGAGATGAGGCGGTCGACCCGTGAATGGCTGTAATGAATTTATGCTCTTGGGTTTTGTGGTTCGGTCGACCTTCGCGGTCGACCGCGAGACCTTGCGCGGTCGACCGCCGCGCGTCCGACCGCCGCGGTCGACCGTCGATGATTTATGGGCTGGGCTTCAGTTTTTGACCCGATTCCGGTCGACCGTCGATGATTTCTGGGCTGGGCTTCGGTTTTTAACCCGATTCGTTTCTAAGTTATATATAACCCTAAACCTCTTTTGTTAGGGTTAAGTAAGGACGAATTTGAACAGTCTTTGAGAGAGGATTGTTACATCCAATTGTGGGAGAGTTGTGAGAGATCAAGAGCTTTGTTTTAGGGTTTGATCGGTGAGATTTGTAACTCTACTTGTATTCTTTGATTTCTAATAGTAAGAACTCCCTCCCCCTTGCCCCGTGGACATAGGCAACTTGCCGAACCACGTAAATTGTTTGTTCTTGCTGTGGTTGTGTTTGCATATTAGTTGTGGTTTAGTTCGAATTATTGTTCGTGTCGCACAAGAAAAGCTTCCGCCGCGCACAACAATTCACACCCAAGTATAAATAATATCGTATTGGAAAAAAGAGTTAACTTAAAATATCAACTGATAATTTCGCCCAAGTAAATGTGAAAATCATTAAAATATTATATTTTACGTTTGAATTTTAAAAAGGACAAAAAGTGACACTTATCAGGTAAATTCTACTATGAGAAGTAAAATCTTAGAAAATTTATATTCTACGATAGTTCAACAACATTTGTTTTAGAGAGAATAATTTAAGAACATTAATTTTAAAATTTGCTCCGTCTACCTTTTATGCAATAAAATGCTAACCCCTCTATCTAAAAACAACGAACTTCCATCACTCTTAACTAATTCAGTCCTTTGTTCTGGTTGATATATTAAATAAGATGCCATGAAATAATTAAGTTAATTAATGCCGCTATAAATCGTGGTTGCAACTATAAAGATCCGTAATAATAACTGAACCCACGAACTTTAACTATAAAATTTTAATTAAAAATTGAAATAAAATATGGCGCAAATTAGCATTCAAGCCGACCCTCAAACGTATAGCTGCCACGTTTTTAATTTGCGTGTAACCGCCCAAGCACTTACTCTTCCGCATGACAAAATGCCCTCTAATCTCCGCATTAAATTACATTTGTCGCCATCATTTCAGTTGCATAACTGGGCAGTTTTACCCTCAGAGTTGAGGGTATATTCGTCAATTTCGATGTTTTCTACTTAATTGCAGCTCACGATTAATGAGGTATTTGCTTCTTTTTTTTTTGGGTACGAATTCAAATGAATGGATTTGGATTTTGGACTCCTTCAACTTCAACTTGCGACGTGGCCGTCTACTTTCGTTTTTTGTTGGCCCGCGTGACTAGAAAACTGTGCTTTTGCACTAAACTTCCACTTAACTGACAATTTGCAATAAGGCTCTTTTTAGTTACGTAATCTAAATTTAACTGCCCCTCGGCAAAATGCCCTTTTACTATCTCTACAGAAAAGAGGGAAAAGGAAGCTATCTCTTACTGAAGGAGTCAACGAGATGAAATGCCATTTCCCTTCAAACTATAGTGATCATATCTTCTTCCAATTTTAGACTTGTACTACAACAAGACATTATTAATATGAGACTCTTTGCAGCTTTATTTCTTTAAAAAATAGATATTTTACGTATTATTAACAGAAAAAAGTGGCAAATTAGAAATATGAATGTCCTTTCTAAAAAAAACTTCCATAGAAAGCAAGAAAATTAAAATCATAAAAACAGAGTTATTAGTTCTACTTCAGCCAACTGCGAAGCCATTTTATGTTGCCAACAATTGGATTTTCTTTTGGATGCTTGCGATTTAATAATAATATCATGCATAGTATCTGGGAAATTAAATATAAAAAAAATTTTAACCCCTTCATTAGTCCATGTCAGCAGAGAACGTGCTAGCCTCGGCAGCGGTTGACCGTTATTATCCAAAACTCATCTCAAGTCCTCGTAAAATAATTTTATAACAGAAAGGCGCCGCTTCCATTAGAATCCAGACATAAATTACAACCAAATGCCACCCATTTCCAAATAACGTCAGGTTGCAGTAATACAAATACTCGCTCCCTTTGTTTCCTTTTTCTCACTGAGCTACCGTTTCTTTTGTTTTGCTCCCTTACAAGCGTCTCTATCTCACTCCGAAGGAAAAAAGAAATCTCTCTTAAAAAAAATCACATCTAAATTCTCTCTGCAGCTCTTCTTCAATATTTGATCAGTAGAAACAGGTATGGATCCGATCGAAATTCGATGAATTGGTCTGCTTCTCTAGATTTTCTCCATGATTTTTTACATCAAAATTGTCTGCAAATTTTGTACAATTATATTTGATTCACAAGATAAATCAAAAGCCCCTCTGTTTTCCCCCTGTTTCTGGTTGCTTATGTGCAAAACTTTTCTTATGGTCAATAATTTGCTTGTTTTCTTTTCTTTTTTTTAATATATTGATGATTTTTTTTTCTTTTCTTTTCTTCCCCCGGTAGAAAACTCCATAGAATTGTGGAATGGAGCAAATCAGACAAATTGGAGAAGTCTTAGGAAGTCTCAAAACCCTCATGATCTTTCATAACGAGATAAAGATCAATCAAAGACAGTGCATTCTCTTGTTTGACTCCTTCAACCTCGCATTCAATTCGATCACACAGCAGATCAAGAATCATCTCAAATTCGACGAAAGACACACCAAATGGAAATCCCTCGAACACCCGTTGAAGGAACTCCATCGAATTTTCCGAGAGGGTGAGCAATACATTAAGAACTGCATCGAACTGAGAGATTATTGGGGAAGAGCAATTGCCTTGAATCGAAACACGGATTGTGTTGAATTCTACATACACAATCTTCTATGGTGTTTACCAGTGGTTTTTGAGGCAATTGAGACTATAAGTGAGATCACTGGTAGTGAGCAAGAAGAGATTAACATGAGAAGAATTATTATCTCACAGAAATATTGTGAGGAATGGATCAATCGAACATTTTTCGATCACAAATTCGGGAAATGCTACTTGGTTCACCAAGAAATGTGCCAGAGATTTGATTCCGTGTTTCGAGAGGATAAATGGTTGCTATCAGAGACAATATCTGAGAAGAGAAGCAAGTCTCCAACAAAGCAAGAGAATAGGTTAAGTGAGCTCTTGTTAAGCCCCAAAGACAAGATATTTCCTTGTTCAGTTCTCATAGGCTCTCCAGATTACCAAGTGAGGCGAAGACTGGGGACTAATGGAGCTAAATACAAAGAAATTCAGTGGATGGGGGAGAGTTTTGCTATGAAACATGCAATTGGAGAAGGAGAGGTTGAGATTCTAGTGAATGAGATTGCCGTTTATTCATCTCTTGCTCATCCGAATGTGATGAACTATATATGCGCATTCTCTGATGAAGATAAAAGAGAATGCTTTCTTGTAATGGAGCTCATGAGCAAAGATCTATTGAGATATATTAAAGAAGTTTGCTCTACGAGGAGAAAAGTAACATTCCCTCTTTTGGTTGCAGTCGATATTATGCTTCAAATATCGCGAGGTATGGAATATCTACATTCGAAAGAGATTTATCATGGAGACTTGAACCCTTCGAATATACTCATTAAGGCGAAAAATTCATCCCATGATAGCTATTTACAAGTGAAAGTTGCTAATTTTGGGCTACCCCTTAGCAAAAGCCCAAAAAATTCAGAGGCAAAAAATCCTTGCATATGGTATGCTCCAGAGGTTCTTTTAGGGCAAGATCACTTCAAATACACCGAAAAGGCAGATGTCTATAGCTTCGCAATGATCTGTTTCGAGCTTTTGACAGGAAAAGTTCCCTTTGAGGACAGTCATCTTCAAGGGGATAAAATGAGTAGAAACATAAGAGCAGGAGAAAGACCTTTGTTTCCTTTCCCTTCACCAAAATACTTAGCCAATTTAACAAAAAGATGTTGGCATGCTGATCCATTGCAAAGACCAAGTTTCTCTTCAATATCAAGGATTCTTCGATACATAAAGAGGTTTCTGGTCCTGAATCCTGATATTGGACAAGGTGAGACACCGAACCCTTCGATGGATTACTTTGAAATTGATGCACTTGTGTCAAAAAACCTATCAAAATGTGGACGCAAAAAGGGTTTTAGAGTTTGGGAGATACCTTTTGAGATGTATGCGTATAGAGTGATAGAGAGGGAGAGAACCAATGCAAATTTTGTCAAGGAGAATAACTTGGATTCAGAGAGTGAAGGGGCTTCGGTTTGTGGAGATGAGAATAGTTCTCATGGGAATTTGTCGTCGGAGGATTCGTTGTCGAATTCAGTGAGTTTGATGTCTAATGGTGGTTCAGAGGGGAGCAAGAAGGGTTCAATGTCAAAGAAGTTGGATGGAAAGGCGCAAAAGCAAACAGGTAACAACTCAACTCTTTTTTCATTTTGCTTTAGAATTAGTGTGTGTGTGTGTGTGTACACACGAAATTTTCTAATATGACATATACATTATGTTGTACATCATGTTAATATAATTTTTCTTAGGTGAGATCTTTAGTTTGTTTATATATCTTCATTGTTGTGAAAATTTGATTTTTACAATGGAATTATTAGTTATTGCTAAGAAGTAGATGTTTTATCAGAAAATGCAAATTTTCTATTTCACAGAGGAATGTGACATGCGAAATATACATCTTTATTGTTCTCCAGCTTATTTAATTATTGATAGTTGAAAAACAATTGAGAATGCAGTTTTCCTCTTTTCATCTGAGCTCTTCTGTTGTTAGAGAATCTAGTAACATTGATGAGCATAAGCATCAATTCTCAACAAAACCATGACTTTTAGTGTGATCAGTTCCTACTTTATTTTCCTTGGTGTAATTATAACACCTCATTCACAATTGTTTGATCCCTTCACGCTACGTTTTCTTCTCCAGGACAACATCAGAAAGCCAAAACAGCAAGACCGTCGCCGCAACTAGCTACATGCACACGGAGTATGAGCTTGAATAATGGTCACTTACAACCAGTTGTGATGAGCCCAGGAAGAAGGAGAAAATCTACAGATTCAGAGCTTTAATAGGTCTCAAAAGGAGATATTTTTATCAGACTATTGCTTGTTTAGTAATAGAAAAATGGATTGCATCAAGACAGAATTCCAGACAGAATGAAACAATCAAAAGCATAAATCCAGACCACAACTCTGTCTGAGAATTTCTTGTTGTATGAATGGCATAATACTTTTTAATGAGATATAAATGATATTTCATAATGAAACAAGTTCTGTCCTGTGATGCCGAATGCAATAGAAAACAATGAAATATCACTCGAAAAATCCATGTGTACAGAGATTTCTCATGTTAGATTATCCTGTTGCTTTTAAGTGAAATGCCCTCACGTACATTGGTTCATATGCTTCAGACATGACGGTCAGAACTGCTTACCGTACAGAATTAGCTTAAAGGTGTTTCCAAGAAATATATGAATGGAACATCGCCTCTTTCAATTACCATCATCTAATTCCAGCAACATTAATGCTCACAAAGGTTGCAATAGATTGTGATGAGCATCATCACATCACTTTATAACAATGAATGGTTAGAGTCTAACAGTTGTACTCACTCAATATTGCACATACAAGTACAAACTTAACACTTCTCCAAGCATGGACTTGCTGCTAATAAACAGGGAGTAAACCAATAACATGAATGATGACACAAAATTTTATGTACAGAACTCAATACCACTCTTTTTGTCAACAAGTGTTCGGTATAACTGCTTTAATCTCACTATAGCTTTTTTTATTTCAACATTTGCGTCATCTTTGTACATCTATTTTTTTCATCCTTCATCTGGCAAAGCATTAACATTGGTGGAAATACTCTGAAGTGAATATGAAGATGGAAAGGCTGTTGGCTTATGGTTATGTCAATATTGAGATCATAGAATTGGTGGTTAGCTTCCCCTTCAAGGGTACGTATGGAACTGATATGGTTTCTCGCTTATACTGGATGTGGTACTTTGATCTTTTTGAAAGGATGAAAAGCTGAGGAGACTCCAAATCTCCAAATATATGACAAAGTTAACTTGCTGGCTTAGGAAAAGAAATCCACAGTTAAGCGAGTTCAAACAAGAGGCAGGTCGACTGGGTCAGCAGCCGAACCACTGTGCTCTTCCGGAGTAAAGGATTCCTTTTAATGTGTTTCCTTCTGCTTCAAGAATTAATTCCCAGCCTCAAACCATTTGCAGAAGTTTTATGGTTCCAGCTGAGTTTGCTGCTATCACCATTTTTGACCTTTCCCTCCAGCAGACACTCGAAACAAATTGTCCATTATCATCATCGGTTTCTTGCCCTGTAATAGGATCTGTGGAGCCAAACTTGTGAGAAGTTATCGGCATGGGAAGAGTTCTGTAGTAAGCATAAACCTGAGAGGGAACAACATTCATCTTTTTAGTAGCATATTCCTTTTAAAATGCTTATAGGCAAACAGGATGTACTTGTTCTTACAGTTGTAGAATGGTCTGACAGTATATTTTCAAATGTTTAATGTCTTAAGAAATATAATACTAGAATCCAATCAATTGACATGTGCATGATCAATTATTACTAATTTGGTTTATGGTGCCTGAACCAAACTACACTACCAGAATCAGATAAATTTCTAAAAGTTTTCAACAAGTTAGCGCCTGTAGGAAACCATTACATTTTCTTTGGGTGTTAAGTCAACTGGAACATTTTCACTAGTAAAATGGGATTTTTTTTTTTTTTTTTTTTTTTGAAAATGTGATATTATAGTCGGCTAATTGATTTTTTTTAAGCGGGATATCTTGGTAAATGATGTTGGATAATTTTCAATAATCAAGAATATATAATTTATGGATTTGATGATATGGCTATTATGTATATATTATTAAACATACTATTATGTAAGAATAATTGTTTATGATAATGTTGATTAATCTTGAGTAACTAGTGATTAAGCTAGAAGATATTGTTAATAATAGTTATTATAATAATTTGTGGTTCATTTTTTGTATTCCGTAGATAAAAAAAATAACACATAAAGAAAAGAGCAAGGAGAGGCCGTCTGATTTGATGGCATTGTCTGATGATGGAGGTGACCATTGGAGGAAGAGAGGATGGATAAAAGAAAAGAAATAAAAAAAAAGAAAAGAAATAGGAGACTTATATCTTTTTTACTACCTAGTTCTAGACTAAAGATGGTGTTTGGGAAGGCTATTTTTTTTAGTTTATAAGTTATGCTGACTTTTAATGGCTTTTGGCTTTTTTGATAAAAAATACTATAAAATTGTTTGAGTAGAATAGTAATTTGCTTGGTCAAACCTAGCTTTTTTAAGTGAGCTTATAAGCTAGTTTTTCAAAAGCTAGGGTATACCATCTTTTTGATATGAGATTTATAAGTGTACTTATTTGGCATTTTACCAAATATATATAAATTAAAAAGCTAGCATAAAAGCTCGTTTGACCAAAAAAATAAGTCTCCCCAAACACCCTCTAAACCTAGGGAGAATTGATTAGTAACTCTCTTTCCTAGTTCTAGTTTTGAGTTCTGCTTGACTAACAAGAAAATTGTTGGCAATCAAACTATGCTCCTTACGTGCCAATTTCGTAGCATATATCCATGCCAAAGCAATCTTTTATAGTATGACTGCCTAAAACATGGCGTGTATAAGGAAACTAATTTTTCTATATTCATAGCTAAACTTATATTATAATTCAACATAACCCCCAAATATCTTTAAGTGAGTTAAATAGCCTCCAATATAACTGCAAACCACTGCTTTTGATTCATGTCAGGGCATTTCAATTAGATTAGAAGTTTATTTACAGGGCATCAATATTTTTTGTGGGCCATACCAAATAGAGAGAGGGTTACGGTGAAAGACTTTTTTTCTGGGTTTTTTTTTTGGTGGGGTGGGGGTGGGGGTGCCAATAATCCCCATGCTAGTCCTTCACAGGCCATAATGGCAGATGTGATATTGTTTGATACATGGTTGGAGTGCCCTAAAATGTCTCAATATCTCCAAAAAATCAAATAACTAGAACATGAAACACCTGGCTTGCTTCTATTTAAGTAGAAAACTAATGGAACTTACTTCATTGGTTTCTGAACCACAGGTTATATATCCATCAGAAACAGACAGACCTACGAAGTTCTGCAGGATCAATAAAAATTGTTAAATGATAGGCATCAAGTAATCAAGATATTCATAAAGAAAAAGTGCACGTCAGCAAGCAAGTTGCAAACCTTCTCATTGGTGTGACCACTGAAGCTCAAACTGCAAGCATTGGTCGACAAACCACTTGGATTGGTTTTGTTAAGATCCCAAAGCTTAAGGCTGTTGTCAGTGGATGCAGACACAGCTGTTACAGAATCTACAAACTTTACATAGCTAACGGCTTTCCCGTGTCCACCCAAAGTACACCAGGGAACTCTGGTCATCCGTAGATCAAAACAGTATATTTTGTAGTCAGCTGAACCGAAGGCCAGCAAATGGGAAGAGTATGGTGAGAATTGGACACAACAAACATTGGCGACATTCCTGATTGTATCAGTGCAGTTTCTCTGCATTCCGAGTTAGCTACCATTAGAAATATTAACATGAACAGCCAAACTTACACAAAAACAGATCGGTATGTATTGTCGAACACAGATCCTTTGTTTAGAAACTTCAGATAGTTGCAAATTAAAAACATAGATTATAGATAAGCATTAGAAGATTCATAGTTAAGCATCATTAAGGTAGAGGCAAGACGGAATATTTATGTAGAATTGCAGACTAGTTTCAAATGAAACAAATAAATAAAATTTTAAAGAAGCCATGAGTATCTCATTATTCGATTAAACATAAAGAAATTTTAAACAATTCAAGAATTTACATAAATTATTGAAATTTATGATTAAGAAAGCATGCCTCGTTAATGCTCCAGAGTTTCACTGAACAATCGTCACTTCCACTAGCCAGCCTAGTTGGATCCACTATAGAAAAATCAACAGACCAGGCTCTCTTCTGATGCTCTATGTATTGTGTGAATCCCTGCCCTGTGCTCGCATCCCATAACTGCATAGCATTCACTCCAATAAGTTACACAACCCAGGAGGAAACCCACTGTATAAGAAGAAACAGAACATTTTGGTGGCCATGCCTTCATGTATCCATCTAACTGGATAAACAAATACACTCTTCTATTAAAAACTCCATGATAATAAAGAAATGGCGACATATCTCACAAAGAAATAAGGGAGAGATGAAGGAAGAAGAAGAATATCCAAGAGAAGTAACCGCACTGTAACTCAGAAAATTTACAATACAGAAGAAAAGAATTAAGAGATAAAGGAAGGGAAATTAAGAAACAGATAAAGACAGAAGATGCTAGTAAATGGAAAAAGTTTGAATCCATGCAAGTTCCATCATTTTGAGACAGTTCACATGTGCAAAAAAATAACTCCATAAAATTGAATACTCACAAGTTGTAACATTTTGAGACAATTTAACATGTGCCTGAAATAATTCCATCTCATGGATCAAGACTTCAAACTACTCCATTCAAATTTGTATGGTATCAAATAAGTCTCTTAATAGTACTTTACTTTAATAGTTGAGAGAAACATCATCCCTGATCTCTATGTGAAGCCAAAATTATTATTTTAAGGAAACCAAATAAAAGCAAATTAATTTGGTGTAGATTACAGACCTGAACCACACCTTCATAGTCTGTCGAAGCTAAATAGTTCTTAATGTAGTTGTTCCAACAGACGCAACTGAGCTTGGATCTATTAGACATCTCAATCAATGGGTAATGGATGTCAACGCTATCGTTCAAAAGAGCACCAAATTCAAAGATTTTAATTTTCTTTGAAACGCCTGCAGCAGCAAAGTAGTCCTCATCTCGATCAAAACTTAAAGAGCAAATGACATTTGCAGAGTTGAGGATATCTACGCTCCTTAGGCTTCCACATAATTCAAATTTACTATATCGAGCATACTTGCATAAACCTTCAAAAAAGGAACCAAGAGAATCTGTAGGTTCCTTCCATAGATCAGTGTCATTTTGAACCTGAAATCTTCCATTGCGGATTCTCAGAACATCTGAATCTGAACGAGACACAGAATCACTTTCAGAAGGCTCAATCTTGGATCTCATGGAAAAGTATGCATTTTCAAGTTGATCAAGATTTCCGATCAGCCTCTCCTCCTTTAGAATTGACGTGGAAAACCAGGATGTTCCTTCACCATGTGCAGGTCTCCTGAGAGAAAATCTATCTGAGATTCATTGAAATACACAGGAAGCCCACTGGCAGTGGGGAGAGACTCAGTTCTTGATGAGTACCTTCTCTCGACCTCCTCAATATCTCCTGTTAAGCGCTGGACGTCAGCTTCTAACTTGGCAGCCTGCTTCTCCTTTTGTTCCTTCATGCTTAACAAGAAATGAAACAACAAATCTGCCTCTGCATCCTCTTCATCAATAGCTGCTGAGTCATCTGGAGATAACATGTCTTGACCTTCACTCACGAAGTTCGAGAGAAGAATATCCCTGTAATGCACAACTTTTTTACTTTGTGAAGCTCAGAATATAACCAGAGTTCTCTCATAAATATGCAGACTACCCATTACTGTAACTAGCATATTAAATATTAAAAAGATCAATATTAACACCACTTCACATAGCTGTCCTCATATTCCAGATGCAAGCTGGAAATAATAACAGTACAAGTATATGAGTTAGACAGGAGTTTCTGTTAACTTGTTGGAGTTGGCACCTTTACGACCATGAATAACACCAACTCTCAATGTTATAAGAGGATCACAAACTAAATAACAGTACTTCACTACTTCAAAAGGGAAAAGGTGGAGTTATATACACTTCTTAGATTTCAAACAAAGTGCGTCGTCAAGCCCCAAGTATATTGTATATCAAGAGGCCAGATCATACTTAATAACATATATACATGCCTACATTCTTTTTACCACATTCCACCTAAAGTTCAAACCCCGACCCCATACACACAGCACAAGTAAGATATATTATAAATCTGGTTAATTTTGGACCAGAGATGCATCAGGTATCAGTTCTCTGATAATCTGCTAAGCACGAGCTCTTTTATTGAGCCTATGACTCACTTTGCAATATCAACAAAAACAACAGCCTTCTTCTCACTGAATCAGAAAAAGAGAAAATATCCAATTCTCTTGAGTTCCACCAATATCAGCTCAAGATATTCACCTTCTCACATGAATCCTTACAACAGCTGAAACAAGTTTCAAGCTCTTATTCACCTACAATATTACTGTTTTAAGTAATCCCTTTAGTGATCTTCCATTTAAATTTTTGCTCTCAAAAAATGGAGAGGGCCTATCTAATCTGATATTTATTCTGTATTTTGCTTCTAATTTTAGTTAGTATCGTCTTTACAAAATGCCGAGCTTTTTGCAAGTTTATAGCTTTGTTTTAAATGAAAAGTACACATGCATTTATTCTGTATTTTGCTTCTGATATTTATTCTCAAGTGCTAATGGCCTCGAAGTCCAACTGGAAACAACAATGTTTTTAGTCAACCTTTTGGTGCTGACCACCTCAAGTGAAATAGGATTTTGTCCTTTGGTCTTGCCTTTCACCAACTCCGGTAGTCAAAAACCATTCTCAAATGCTAACGTCTCTGAAGTCCAATTGGAAAGAACAATATAGAAGATATGAAAGACAATAGGACATTCTCTGCATGAACTTAAAAACAATAACACATGAAACATTGAATTACTAGCTATCAATCAACTTAGGGTGGCTTTTATACTTAGAAAAGTTCTGTTCTTCAGTGATAAAAATTGGTGGGGAACTTGTAGACGAAATACAAGGAGAAGTTTAAGCACAACACTAGGATGAAACTTAAAAAGAAAACCATATGACAGCTCCCAGTCTTACACAAAAGGGTAACAAATTACATAGTATTCAGTTCCATCAATAACTAAAGTTGGGCTATTGATACCTTGAATTAGGTCGCGAAGAAGACTCTGGATGTAGCAACCAAAGGCAAAATCCTGCCTCTTTAGGGCTCTCTGATAGAAAATTCGGAGGAAGTATTCTGTAGCGAAGGTCAGACATTGCAGCAGAATGCAGTTCCCAAGTATCAAAGTAGCAAAACAGCTGAGAAAGAGAGGGAAAAAATCAATAATTTTCAGGAGCTATAGCTTGTATGTGTCACATGACTTCCACATTGTTCCACATTGTAAAAACTCATCATTTGCAACAAGATACAGAAGACAATAACATAAGTTACAGAGGTACACGTATTGTAATGTCTCCCTCCATCACTCTTCCCAATCAGCGCACTTGTTGGTCTCAACTGCACACTAACCAAAAAAACTCAACCACCTCCAACATTTTACTTTCAATGCAGCAATATACAATGATCATAAATGCACTAATTATTTAGCGTCTCTTAGGCCTATTACAACACATCTTAATTGGTGCACTTGTTGACCTCAGATGCACATTTGCAAAAAAGAGTAATTGGTTGTCACCCATTTTATCCTCGTTGGAGCAACCTCCTAATTACAAATGCAATAAGTTAACCTTTTAGGTCTATTACAATTCATCCACCTCAATATTCTCATTCCAGCTAACATGTTCTTTCTGAACAAAAGTGTCTTGCTAATTTTTCTTTCTGGAACAGAAGTTCCATATGCACGTTACTTCTTAATTGCCAAATGTTGACACATAAAGCATTAATAGTCTTATAGCCATCTTATAGATCTTCCAAACTTGGATTCCAGTGATATTATGATCATGTAGTACTTCAGCACAATTCCATTGTGAATATCCAGAATTTTTTTCTTTTTTCATTATCACCATGAATAATTCATGATAAGGAGTGAAAATGATCACTAGATATTTCTTGACCATTAAGTTGTATTCTATTCTCATCTATTCTAATCTTTGCCAAATTTCTTGACCATGCACGTTACTTCTTAATTGCCAAATGTCTGACGGAAGCTTTCACCACATTTCTAATTAGGAAATTAATTCTTCTCTTCTCTAGTCCTATCAACTAGTATGATAGCTTCAGTAGCATATGCAGTTAGGACATTATCCCAAGTATACATAATCACTTCATGCATAACACATGCAAAAAAATAAAAGACTTGATGTTGATCCTTTATGTAAGCTTATGGTGAAGGGAAAAACTCTGTTTCCTATCCAATTTTTCTCACTTCTCACACTAGTTAATAGTTATTGTTCCATCATGCATATCAGGATAGAGCAATATGATATGTTGTTTCTCTGACACTCGCAACAATATGTCTAGTGGCTTTTACCTGTAAGCTTCACTAAACCTTATTTTCATCACATCTTCAGACTTTCACCACCAAGATGACTTGGGTAATGAGTACAAGGCCTCACGAGAATTTTCACAAAATTATTCAATGGTTGTCAACCTAACGAAATGTTTGGCTTATTATCAGTTCTACAGGAAATTACATCTAACATAGGAACAGAAAAGTCAAATAAGAACACATTCCCAGAAAGAAGATAAACATTACTAGGAACTTCAATATCAAAATGAACATTTTTCCAGGAATACTTTTCATAAACTGAAATTTCTAGGGGAACTACTTCGAGAAACTACTATAATGTACCCACTATTGGCTCCGAAACTGAAATAGTCGTTATAATTGCCGCTTATAGTGGTACATGCAGAATACAATTGGCTAATTCATTTAACTCTAAAATGTTACAAGGTAGCCAAAACATGCAAAATCTGAATGAATCTGCATATATGATTTACATAAACATCTAGGACTAGCCACAACATGCAAAATTTGTATGAATCTGCATATATGATTTACATTTAACATCTACACCTAGCCAATAGCCATTCAACTCTTAATTAATCATTAGAAACTAGTTGCGGAATATGATCTTTTTTAGGCCATATCTAAAAATGCCAGAGCCCATCAATCATTTCAGCTTTATCATAATCTTGAGCCCAACATAAAGCAATAGAGCTCACAGGCTTGGGATATTGCTGTAAGATATTGAAGAGTAAACCACTCCGCAAAACTAATATGTTTGCAGTAAAACCATTTGTCCAAATTCCACAAGAAACACAATATGTCAAGTGCCGAGAAACACTTTTCTATCTTTGACTAAAAAAGTGATGTAAAACAAAATAGAAAACACATAATGATCATGTTTTAATCTTCAAGACTATAATATAGAGGATGCTTTCCATAGATTAAGTTGCCTTACTAATCTACATTCCAGAAAATGTGCACTTCTTTAAGTAAGATATTTGCTTTGACACTTCTAGATCCATCCACTTCTATTTTCTCATTAGATACATAAGATGGATGTGTCTGTTTAGCATTTTTCTAGCATAAGGCTGTGCTATTTTCTTTTACTCTTTAAGCTTCCTGCATAAATTCAACTTATTACATGTCTAAATATGCTAAATTTATATGTATCTTTATAGAACCAAAGTTGTTCAATGAGAAAATTCTCAAATTATATGTGTGTGTGTGTATATGTATGTATATATGCATGTATGCATATACATGTATGTATTTATATGTATGTGTGTGTGTACGCATGTGTGTGTGTATACATATACATATACATATGTATATGTATGTATGTATATATATATATATGTATGATATATATATATATATATATACATACATACATACATACATACATACATACATACATATACATGTGTGTGTGTATTTACAAACTAACATATTCATTAAGCATATATCTACAGAACAAATGAATTCAAACCAGATGTGTATGTCTTTATTTTGCATCCTGTGTCTGTCAAGATGCAGTAATCACGCAGATGTCAACAATTTATAGTTTCAAGGGATATGTGTAAGGCACACATTACACAATCGACACGAACAGTGTTCGTTTAGCCCACAAGACACAATAAAACATTATGTTTTACTATATTTGTCATAAAAGTTACTTCAACATGTATATAGATAAACGACATATACTAATTGTCCTGGATCTTAAAGCTCTCCTGTAAATATATATACATGCAATAATGAGTGTATTGAGTGTGTATATATGACTATATATAAGTGAGCTAAAAAGTCTCTAGTGGGAGGCGGAAATCAAATTTACTCTTGGTTTTTATAAGAGACAAAATGAAATGAAGACATGTTAGGTGTAGACACACTTTATGATTAAAGATTTGAGCAATCCTGACATGTGCATGAGTATAAAAACTATCTATGCATCTCTTAACGCTTTATCTCTATTTTTAACTGCACCTCTTTTCAACCTGTTAATCCTAGATTCTTAAGAATGACATAAAAAGTAATGGAACTAGGTTAATGATTTTATCACTGCAGATACGAATAAATGCATTTACGTCTTTCCAAGTTGAGGTCTCTATCTATCTACCAATTTGTATTACTCAGTCCATGTGCCTGGTATTTTTCACACTTGGTAAATTAAAACTGAAATCTCTACAAAAATAGAAAGAGTTGAAGAATGTCTGGACTTCTTAACCATAAAAGTCTACATACATCGTTGTAATACATGCAAGAAAAAATTTGGAAAGACATAGAACATAAGATTCATTATGTTGTATGACTTGGCATAGATTCACAATTTGTTGATATAGTGTGATACTGCACTATATGAAAAGCAATGACAATTAAATAGTGAAAGATTAAAAAATTTCCTTTCTTATTACCTCAAAAAGAAGAACCCCAAGACCGTAGATGTTGGAAGAAAACGAGCAAGTGCCCATGTTTAGTTCCTCTGGACTAGCATACCATTTTTCTTCCAATTTCAAAAACTCCAATGTCGGTTGTTGGAGAGCAGAACCACCAGAAAGCACATGAGGTTTGTATGATTCACCGAGTTTCTGGTGCATGCTTGATGAACTGTTGTCATCGTGCCACCAATACTTTTTCCTTTTCAAATGAGGCTCTAAATAATTTTCAATATTTTGATTATGTTGACCTTCCAGTTGCTCCATCTGACTTCTAGGGACAAAGGCACCGACATATTTGACTTGATTTGAAGGTGAAATCAATATATATGTTGGACGTAGACACTGCAAAATAAGTCCTTGGGAGTGTGAGGAATCTACAAGTTCTAAAATCTGTTTGAACATCTGAAGCCTCTCGAATTTATCCAACTTGTGAAGCCTTGGGGTCAACCATTCCCTCAAACTAATCTCATCATGCCGGGTATCAGCTTGACCACCGCCTCCAATCAAAGTTTTGTCATCATGTTTTCCACTTGGCTTCTCTGATGAATGAGTATCCACCTCTGCATCGTTGCTAGACCTTGCTAGATTATTTCGACTTTGGGTTACACCCCAAGGCTCCTTCCGAATTCCTGGATGTTTATATGCAACCCCCTTTCTCCTCAATGAATTCTTTACTAAAAACTGAGAAAAACCAGATGCTGGTAAAACCTTTGTCCGGATCCCTTCCACAGGTTTGTCAAGCATACTTCTTGAAGCAATGCGGTGATCACTTTCAGCTAAATGATCAGCTACCTTAGAAGGACTTGGCTCCAATTGAGTGGATCCTGGAGGCCTTCTCATTGACATTTGTGGCATAAACAAACTCCCTACGCCCTCCCGATATCCTATAGATGAACTTCTCAATGATGCATCTCTACTTCTCGGTTCACCAGCCAACCTTGTAAAATTGTTCCAGAAACCTTTCTTAACTGAGGAACCTTCGCCTTTAAACAAGATTGGGCTCTTGTAATTGTTCAATGTCAGCTCTTCCACCATCATTCCAGGGTCCGATGCTGAACCCTGGTCATGACTTAGATCCTTTCCTGCTAAGGTTTCCATAAAATTCTCTGGCGACCTTGGAATTGTAACTTGGTCTGCATTCTCCAAAGCATTGTCTGTATCTCGTTGCTGAGGGAGCTGTTCGTCGTTCTCTTTTCTTTTAATGTGAGGAGCCGCGACCGAGTGCTCCACAGGTTCACTTACACTTACATCAGCTGATCCTTCCATTATGGGTTTCCGTTGGTACAACTTTTATTATAACAGATAACCCAGCGTTTGAAGACCAATTAGATGAAAGAAACCCCGAATGCCATACATTAAGGAAAAAAATATAACCCTGAAATTTACTTTTCTTCTGCAAAAAGACAAAAGAGAAACCAATTAGATGAAAGAAATCCCAAATGCCATCCATTCAAGAACAAAACTTAGCCTGAATTTTAATCTTTTTCCCCTTTGCAGCGAGCCAAACAGAATGTGCCATCAATTAAAATTTTGAGTTTTAAGAAGTTAACTAAACGTACCTGATCAAAGAGTTGAAATAAATAGATGATGAGTTCTTACTCCAAGGGGCTGCTAGTTCGGTGCATTGGAGCTGCCTATAGAAAAGTCCGAGAATTGGCCCCCCACAAAAAAAAATTGCTATTTTCAATATCACCTCTCAATAAATTAGCTTAAAAATCAAATGCAATAACGAAAGGCATAAAATAACGAATTAAAACAACGTAAGAAGCTATTGTGAGAAGAAATTCGCAAACAAATCAGAACAAAACCCTAGATGAAAAGCTCCGAGAACAATCGAAGTCGTCGAACAGGCAATTGGATCGAAGTTATGGAGAATAAAAACCCTAGATTTTCCAAAAATGGAAAGTTACCGATGTTTCAGCTGGAGCTCGCTTGAGAGGCAATTAATTTTCTGACTTGCGAGGGGGAGGAGGAAAAATGAAACCAGTAGCCTGAGGTTCCAAAACAAACACATCAGCGTCCTTTCTTCTTATTTATTATTTTATATTTCAGATCACCAATGTATTCTTAATTGGACAAGTTTTTCAAAAGAGACCCTATTAGCAATTTATTTTTTAAGAACGACCTCTTTATGATTTGTTTGACAATTTCGACCCCACTTGGGTCGAAAATGGCAAACCACTTGGGTCGAAAATGGCAAATAAAGTTTAAAACTTTATGGAATTTAAAATTCTTTAAAGTTTAGTGCTTTATTAACCATGCTAATAAAGCCGCAAAAGAAATACACCCAAACTCCACGGTATTCAAATCTCATGAAGTTACATGCCCATTTTTACAGAGAGCCCAGTGCCAAATGCCCTTGACAACTTCATGAGATTTCAAATTTCATGAAGTTTGGTTATAATTTCAGATGAATTGGTCTATTTCGTGATTAGACTGAGTAATTTATTGACTAAACTTTACGGTATTTTAGATCTCGTGAAGTTTTCGAACTTTATTTACCATTTTCGACATGGTTTCGACCACCTAAATTTTAAAGGGGTCGATTTTTAGAAATAAATTTCTACTGGGGTCTATTTAAAATTTTGTCCTTCTTAATAATACGCTTATTATTGAATATTATATAAAATTAAATATCTTAATCCAACTTTAGTATCAAAACAATGTAATTAATGAGATGACCATCAGTTAATTAGCGGACTGGTTTAGGTAATCCGACCCGGATTGAGGTCCACCACAAGTGCAGATATTTAAGGAGAAAACCAATGAATATAATAATAATAAATAATAATGTTATTTTATGGTTTTAGATAGTCCACTCAATCTCGTCTTGTCTTTACAATCACGCGCTTCTTCGAACACAAACGGTGGAGGCTGAGCAACTGCCTATGCTGTTCCGCAAGAAGTTCGTCAGAAACACGATAACCTTTGAGCCCAAAGTCTCATAAGCACCAATAAACTTTGTCTTTTACTTTTCTAGGGTGCTATGCCTTTGACCTATTAACCCCTTAAATTTTATCCTTTTTTTTAAGCCTTCAAGCCATAATCTTAATCTTAAGTCCCCTAGCTTTTGTTTGGTACTAGCATTTATGCACGAGCAATGCACGTGATTAAATATTATGATCAAGTATTTTTAACTTATTTTTTACTAAAATTTGATTCTCAGTTCCACTTTGATTGTTTTTCTTACTTATGTTTTCAAATTTTACTATTGTGATTTTTTTTACACCAAATTTAAAATTTTCATGTAATAATTGAATTGACAAGAAATAACTATAATCTAAAGCTAATTTGAATTTTCACGCTATTTAGATCTGCATGAAAACAAGCTTGACTTAAGGAGGTATAATGTTGTAAAAGTGAAAAACACTTGAAAAGATAATGTTATAAAAGAAGTATGAATAATTAAAGCTAATAAGACAAAATGCTTAATTAAAAGTGGGCTAGGATGAAACTAATGAGAATATAATTTTTGTTGCTAATCACTGATAGACTTTAAAAAAATTATAAAATAAATATTAATATTAACTCTAGTACACTTTTATATGATAAAAATATCCACATAAACATATAAAAAAATTAAAAGAGTTCATGAAAATCACTTATAAATATTCATGATTTTACTCAAAAATATTAAGCTATTTTTAAAATATTAAATAATTAAAAATTATGTTATTTTTATAAAGAGCCTTGATGGAGATGCTTTTTTTAGCAGCTTGTTATGAATGAGCCTTGCACATTAGCTTTTAAGTGTAATATTTTTTTTATCGTGTTATATGGATGTTTGCTTGGTTTGCTTATCTATCTCTTATTTTTTCAATAAGTTGATATATTATTAACATAATTTACGTTGACATGTATATCTTTCATACAAATTTGAGACATGTATAAGATGAATTTTATATTTAGTGGCATTTAATAAGAATTTTAGTTATAAAATATGTTACCTTCATATTTAAAGATCTTGAAATCTGACAGTACTATTACATGCTTATCTTTGATCCCTTCATATTTAAAGATCTTGAAATCTGACAGTACTATTACATGCTTATCTTTGATCGTGTTCTTAAAAACTGATCTTCCGTTGGTAGTCATATCCCCAAATAAAGGTACTTGCAGAGTGGTCCCACTATATAGAGAAAAGAAAAAATTTAATTTTAAATTTTTTTACTTACACTATGGTAACTAAGTATCATGTGCATATTTTTTGTCCATTATAGTGATTTTTTTCATCTTATCTAGTTTATTATATCTCGCAATGCAGTCTCGCAATGCAGTTGATCAATGGCTTTACTTTAGTTTCTATTGCAATATTATTTATATGAAATTTTATATTAAGATTATGATTCCTTCAGTATTTTTAGAATAAAGTATGAAAATTTGTAAGTACTTACTAATTTTTCTTGTAATTTTTATGAATAATGTTTTTTTAATTAGGACATAATTGTTCAATATGTTCTTCAATGAGAACTCGATTAGTGCTTCTTTGCTCGATATGCTTTTTATCGATGTCAATTCAGATGATTCATGAATGTTTCTGAATTTTGAGTTTATTTCCTCCACTTCTCCTTTTGAAATGAAAACAACTTAGTTCTTTTAAAGGATATCTCTGAACTTTCTGATAATTTCTCCATTCATAACTCATTGTATTTTTTTTCTTTATAAATAAATATTATCAACATTAGAGATAAATGTTTATACATTATAATCAATTAATGCTAACATATTATATCTTAATGTAATAATACCAAATATTTCCTCTTTTCTTTGCCAAATTTTAGCCTTTTTGTGATTTAAACTTTTGAGGTTGTGTTTTGTAATTTTTAAACTTTGATAGTATTTTATAAAAAAATTAAATTTTAAGTTGGGCGCTTATAATTTTTATGTTTCATGTATTGGTGATAAGTTTTTAAATGTTAGAATATTTCTCGTAACTCTAAAAAATTTGAAGGTATTTTTATAATTACTAATTTTTTGGGTTTTTTTAAAAAAAATTAAAATTTTAGCAATCTGCTGATAATTTTTAAATTTGATGTGTACCACTTATAAGATTTAATTTTTTAGAATTTTTTAATAATTTTTGTACTTTTGAGAGAGTTTTTGTAATTTTTGTAACTTTGAGGTTATTTTTTTTACTAATTTTAAATTTCTATGTGCCTAATGGTAATCCCTGGAATCCGTCTATGTTTCTAAGTTTTAAAATCTCTGGATTTTAGAATGTTTTTTGTAATTTAAACAAGGCTAAATTGCACTTATATACCCTATTGTTTTGCTTTTGTAGTAGTTATATACCCCAAGTTACAAAACATAGAAAAAAAATACCTTGAGTTGGTAACTGTTTAAATTTAGCTAACGGTGTTAAAAAATACATGAAAGGACAGTAATGCCCCTCCTTAGGAATTTCCCCCCCCCCCCACCCCAACATAGTGAAAACTCTTATTTTCTACTATTACTCATATTAAAGAGGAAGAAGAAGTTGGAGGCCACGAAAAGAAGAAGGTGATGATGAAAATAATCTAATTTGCGGGGGTGGGGGTACGTAATACAGTAAATAGTACAATAAATGAGAGTAAGAAGTATTCAAGTTGGTCATAGGTCCAGCACGTGGAAATATTCCAGATAATATTCTCACAGCTAGTTAATAGAATGTACCAACTTGCATTTTTTTGTCAACTCAGGGTATTTTTTTGTTATATTTTGTAACTTAGGGTATATAACTGCTTCAAGAGCGAAACACATAGGGTATATAAATATAATTTAGCCTTTAAACTTCTGAGGTTGTTTCTACAATTTTTTAAAATGTTGAGGGTGCTAATTATAAGTTTTAAATTTTTAGATATCATGTTTGTTTTTAAGTTTTAAAAACTCAATGTATTTGTGTAATTTTAAACTTTTAAGGCTATTATATGCAATTTTTTAAAACTTTTGGGTTTTTTATAATACTTCATGTGTTATAATATGTTATCTACGTATAATTTCTTAATCTTATTTTTTATATATTTTTGAGCTACAAGTAGTTTAGATGGAGTTAATATAGGATATAATTAGTATTTGGATAGATTAAGATTTAAGTGAAATATTCAAAATAATTTTTTTAAAATTGTTGACCTATAGATAGTTCACGTGGAATTAGATATGATATGATTAAAATTAAAATAGATTAGGATAGTAATGTAATATTCAAGAAAAGTTAAGGATAATACTGACCATAGAAAGATTTTCTCAAACTCGTGTTTTTAAAGGTAGTAGGATTTTTATTTTTTCCCGGTAATTTTAGCCTCAAACATCTCAAAATACCATTTCAACTGAGGTAAAATTATAAAATTGTTTAAAAAACCACATGACAAATATATATGTGGAAATGTGGAATGATTAAGAATTCTTATTGGACTCGGGAGAGAGTTGATAAAACAGATACTTTAAATTAGAGGGCGAGATGGCTTAAACCTTGAGGAGGTCGAGGGATTAGTGATTTTTTTTTCTTTAACAAATTTAAATTTTTGTGTACATGTATTGAACTATAACATTCTAAAAATGTTGAGAATGACAATTATCTTTCTTAGATAAACAAATTAAACAAGACCATGATATCTTTCATAGCTATGTTGAATTACCAGGGACTAAATAGAATGAATGTAAGCAAATTTAAGAAATTAATAGATGAGAGTTAATGGTTCGAAGGCTTCCTAGAAAAGCAGACGTAAATTAAGTTTTGAAGTATAATAGATTGCAATTATAGTTTAAGGCTGCGTTTGGGAACTTGGATTTGGATTTAGAATGTTGATTTAAAATCAAAGGATTTTAAATCTAAGATTTGAAATCCATGATTTGATAGAATCTTTTGTTTGGATATCTGTACAAAATGTAAGGATTTGAAATCAAAGATTTGAAATATAGTGTTTGGATACACTTTATTATACATGAACTTGGATTTTAGAATTTGTGTTTTGAGAAAATTTATGCTTTTTCTTAACTCCTCAATCTTTATGCGGGGTTTATGTTGAGG